GTGTGTGTGTGTGTGTTCGGGTTTTTTCTACAACGGGGTATTTTTTTACAAAAAAAAAAAGCAGCCTCGTGGGGACCAAAGTGAATCGTGGGGACCATTGTCAGGTCCTCATGGGTCCAAATGCATGTTCCATGTGTGGGGTTAGGTTTAGGACCAAGGTTTAGGTTAGTCTTAGGGTCAGGTAAGTTTCTGTGAGGTTAATTTTGAGTATATGGTCAGGGTTAGGATATAAAGTCTAATAAAAAACATGAATGGAAGTCAATGGAAGGTCCCCACGGGGTCGAGAAACAAACATGTGTGTGTGTGCGAGCGCGCGCGCGCGCGCTTGATACGTCAGCGCAGCTGGAGAATTATTAGAGGGAATATTAAAAACGACACGAAACAGTAACTTTGTATAATTATTTCTAAAATATTTAACCGCCACAGAATCACTAAAGTGATCTAATTCAGTTGTTTTGTTTGATACGAGGCAGCAGGTCTGTCCATAATAAAAAGCTACGTCACGGTCCGGTTCAGCTCAGCTGCTCCACTCCTCTGTTGGATCAGCGCTGCGGGTTCATTATGAACAGGTTTACGTGAGCGGGACCTGCCCACCTTCACCTGTGGTCTTATGAATGACCTGGGGGGGCTTAAAGCCGGACTGGTCTGTGCGGYAATTGTGCGGATTTGACTTATGAAAGGGGCTGATCAAGTATTGCGTTCGGGTCCGCATGAGACCCCCACTCGGTCCGGATCCGGACCGAGGTCCGCCTATTAGTGACCTCTGGTCTAAAGTATCCTGACAGCTCATCTCTGCCAGAAATTAAGGGGATATCTTTTGTGCAATCGTTATCAGTAGTTAGAACCGTATCAGCCGTGACATCAGCTGTAGAGCACAGAATGTGGAGAAAAGGGTAGATGTCTGTGATTTTACACGACACTGTTCAGTTTGCTGCCGTTTTCTCAACCAAATGTCTGTTAATACATTGATGTGAGCAGAGCACTGAGGTGTTTATGTTGATAGTGCTGAGGCTGAATGGATCAGATCTTCAGCAACATCAGATTATAATGATCTGAACCCTAATAAGATATTAATAACTACTAAAGGGATCCACGATTAGTTGTAACATTAGACTTTATTTGATAAACATTTATTTTAACTGTAAAATAAAGACTGTAAAATACTGTAGGCTGTTTGGTTTTTATCATTTTTAAACTAAATTTTTAAAATATATTACACAGACTGAGCCATTTTATTTACACACAAAGCATTCTGGGTAAATGATGACGTGGATAGGTCCTTGGTGTGAGGCTGCTAGCGAGCTATATCCACCCTGAAGGTTAATCTTGGACAATATCTGATGATCGACTCTTTTAAATGAAACCAGAGAGCGTTGACAGAGAGGAGAAGGTAGAAATGACTGTAGCTTGACTGTAATGACAGTTTAGCTTGTTAGTTTGTCGCGCTAGCACCGAGCTAATACATATAAGGCAATATAGCATCGGAGCTAAAGCTAACAGGCTAATCTGAGGTTCTTACATGAAGCAGCTCTGTTGTCCTCCATCCACATTTTCAGTCATTTCTACCTTCTCCTCTCTGTCAACGCTCTCTGGTTTCATTTAAAAGAGTCGATCATCAGATATTGTCCAAGATTAACCTTCAGGGTGGATATAGCTCGCTAGCAGCTTCACACCAAGGACCTATCCACGTCATCATTTACCC